CTTCCTTCCGAGGAGTGGCTGGTGGGTTTGAACCGCCAGCCTTCTGGTTAGCAGTCAAGTGCCTTAGGCACTATGCTACCAGAGCTCCTGTCAAAAATTTGTTGACTATAAATGTGTGGATTTATTTATTACTTTTTTCTTGAGCAAATTAAAAGGTTGTTTATATTCTAAAGTCATTTAAAAATTCATGCTTTTGGTTGAAAAAAAAGAGTTGTGAACAATGTACGTGTGGAAGGAAAATAATGGCCGTCAGCCTTCACAGCTCTTGCCTCACCTCGCCCGCAGCCTCCCCTCTCCTCAGCCCCTGAGATGACTGGTGTTTCCCTGGTAACAGTATCCTTGGGAAGGTCATTGCAGACCTACTCCTCCTAGCGTTGCTAGGTCACTATGGGGAGGTGCCCCCTTCTGTTGACAGGAGCCTAGGCTTAGGCTCCAGACTGGAAGGCTGGCTTTGTTATGACTTACTGTGTGACCCTGAGGGATCTGCATAACCTCTCTGAGCCTTGGTGACTTCCCTGGCAGATTGGCCAGGAGGAAAATGAGATCAGAGCTCAAACAGCCCAGGTGATTGTGTTGTGTGATGGTCTTGGCAGGTTGGGGACCAGATTCTGGAGGTGAATGGGCGGAGCTTCCTGAACATCCTGCACGATGAGGCGGTCAGGCTACTCAAGTCATCTCGGCACCTCATGTTGACGGTGAAAGACGTCGGGAGGCTGCCTCATGCCCGCACCACCGTGGATGAGACCAAGTGGATCGCCAGTTCCCGGATTGGGGAGACCGCCACGAACTCCGCAGGGTCTGGCCCCTCTGCTCACTCTGATCCCCAGGACTCAGAGTTCCTAGGGTGGGGGAGGATCCTGAACACCAGGGTCCCTTCGACTTGCAGCATGTCCTCGGGCATGTCCCTTCTCCTCTCCTGGCCTCGGTTTCCCTGTAGAAAGCCGAAATACATGATCCCTCATGATTGTTCCGGTGCCTTCATTCTGTTTTGCCCTCAGGCAAATCACAGACCAGATTCTTTTCTTCCATTTTTTCTTAAATATAGTAGGTAGGTAGGTAGATTTTTTTATTGTGTCAAATATGTATGTAACAAACATTTGTCATTTCACCATCTTTCCCCTGACATTAATTCTGTTCATCATGTTGTGTAAACATCACCTGCCTTGTTCTTTGGGCCTCAGTTACTTCATCTGAAAAGCAGGGACCATCATCCTTGTCCCCAGGCCAGATCTGAGGCCCCCACACTGTAATTTGGGTGAAAGGTCTTGGGAGGCATAGAGTGAGGCAGAATTGTTACCTGGCTGCAGAGTTGTGTCACTGTTTGATTTCCATCAGAAGTTACAAACTGTTGGTCTGCTGGCCAAGTATGACCCAGAGACATCTTCCTAGCCCTCGCCCTTCCTTCCACCTGCTCAGTATTATAAATGGCAAAAAATTAATTGCCAGCCTTTAAAAAGACGTTGTTGTTATGTGCCGTCAAGTCGGCCCCGCCTTATAGCGACTCCTCCTTGGGTTACTGAGGCAGTATCACTATGGAAATAGATTGCCCCATCTTCCTTCCGAGGAGTGGCTGGTGGGTTTGAACCACCAGCCTTCTGGTTAGCGGCACTACGCTACCAGAGTTCCTAAAAAGACATTAGGGTTCCTATAAAAATCAAGATTTCTAGCTGGTACTTAAAAATCAGCAGTGTGGCTTGAGCCCACCTTTCTTTGTCAGAACCAGGGCTGAGTGGAGCAGCAGCTGGCCCCTTGAGTCACTTCCTGAGATCTACAGTTTGGTCGAGTCCCCACCGTCCCAAGTGTTGACCTGACCCTGAGGCGGCATGTCAGTCACCATCCAATCTCTTCTTTCCTGGCCTGGGCCTGTAGAGTTGGAACAATGCAGGGATCTACCTTGGATGGTTTTAGAAGTCTTGTCCACATGGTTGGAAATCAGAAGTAGCCCTGTCTGTCCAGGGGCTCTGTCCCCACGAGTAGCCTCAGTACTGCTCTGGCAGTGAGTAGAAGGTCATGAGGTGGTGGTTCTCTCAGGACCTGGAGGAAGTGAAGCTCCTCTGGTCCTCAGAGTTTTGCTTCTTGTTCCAAATTAGCGCTCCCCTCCCTCCTGCCTGGGTGATCTGCTCGGACATGCAGCTGAAGGTGCTTGTCTTTCTCCACAGGTTTCCTGGGGACCTCACAGCAGAAGGGACAAACAAGGTAGGATGTGCTTCATCATGGGGTACTTTCATCTTCTTCCCAGCTCCCCTGATGGGAGACGCAGGCAGAGTGCTGAGTGCCTTGCACGTGTTACCGCAGTTGGGCGCCTGCTGACTGTCCATCTTCCCCTGTGCCACACGTCTGTCAGTGCTCGCTATGCCCTGGTCACCCCAGGTCTCAGGGTGACAGCAGTGAACAGAGTCGAACAGATCCAGTGTCTACCCTCATGGCGACCACACTCCAGAGAGGGAGACACACATAAAAACAAAGCAGTAACACTCCAGTTACTATTGGATAACAAAATAGTAATAATCCAATTATAAAAGATGTTCCTGTCATCAAGGCAAGGTGCTGGGTGTGAGAGAGTACAGGTAAGGTACCTACTCTAGATGGGGTTGGGGAACTGTTAAAGGAGGGGAGAAAGGCCTGTGTGAGGTAGTGACATGACATTTGAGCTTGAACGAAATGTTCAGTGGAAGTTAGTGAGGTCATGCTGGAGGCGGAGTGTGAGTCAGACAGAGGGAATAGCACATGTGAGAGCCCTGAGGCCCGGGAAGGGCTTGGTTGGTTGGAAGAATGGAAGAAAGGTGAGTTATGGAGTGTAGTAAGAAGGAGATGAGAACAAGATCGTGATGGAATTGTCTGATGGCCCGATCACACAGGGCTTTCTGGGCCATGGTGAGGGGTTGGCTTCTAAGCTAAAGTAACAGCATCTATTGAAGGGCTTTAGGCAGGGGAACAACAGAATGAGATTGTGATTTTACAAGACCTTTTCAGCAGCCCTGGAGATTAGTGTATAGATGATACAGAGGGCCACGGAGGACCAGAGGGGAGACTGGATGATATTTTAGACAAGGCTGGTGGTGGTAGAGGCAGTGGAGGGAAGGGTGGGGAGTGTGTGTGCAGATTGGAGCCATGTTTTGGGAAGATAGCTACTGTTACTATCCTTAGAGTCCCTGCATGATACAAATGGTTAATGCATTCCTCTGCTAATGTTTCAGGCCACTCAGGTGCATTGGAAGAAAGCCCTGGCAATCTGTTTCCAAAAACTCAGCCATTAAAAACCTATGGAGTGTAGCTAGTTCTACCCTGGTGCACATGGGGTCACCATGAATTGGAATTGACTCAATGGGAACTTGTTGTATTAGCATCTGTGGTTCAGAAGATGCTGAAGGTTAGAGAAGAAAAGGAAACCACAGTAATACTGTTTGACTCTGGACAGTTAACGAGAGTCTGATGAGATAATATATGTGCTTTGTAAGCACTGGTCAGATGGGTGAGGCTACACACCCTTTGAGGACACATTGTGTTGTCTCCTCCTGAGAGTTTACCATGTGTGCTGAGCCTGCTAGGGGTCTCTGGGGACCACCTCATCACTGAATATTCTCACTGGCTGGGCCTGGCTGCTTGGCTCTCGAGCAGCTTAGAATTCCAGGGGCTTCTGGCCTTCTGTCTTCCAGGTGGGGTTTTACAAGGGGCCAGCTGGCTCCCAGGTGACCCTGAGCAGCCTGGGGAACCAGACACGGGTGCTGCTGGAGGAGCAGGCACGGCACCTGCTGACTGATCCGGAACGGGCCACCATGGCCTACTACCTGGATGAGTACCGCGGTGGCAGTGTCTCTGTGGAGGCCCTTGTCATGGCCCTGTTTGAGCTGCTCAACACCCATGCCAAGGTGATCCACGTCCCTCCTCTGGCAAGGTAGCAGGTGCCAGGGTCCGGCTTCGGCTTTTCCAGGGCTCTTTACCCTTCTCTCCCTCCCTCCCTCCTTCACTCCTTTACTGAGAATGTGCCAGGAATCGGGCTTGAACCCTGGATAAAGTCTGGTGGCCCAGACAGCCCCCACACCGGGGAAGCTCACTGCCTCCTGGGCAAACAGTTTACTGTGTGATTGGGGCTCTAATGCAGTGGCTTTTAACACTGAGTGCATATTTAAAATCATCTGGAGTGCTTCTAAAAAGCATGGCCCAGGCCCCATCCAAGACGAGTTCACTCTGCGTATCTGTGGATGGGCGTCAGGTACCAGTGTTTGCAACAAGCCCCCCAGTTGACTGTGACACGCTGCCAGCTTTGAGAACCCTACTTTAGTGGAAGTTTGTGTGAGGTTCAGAAGCTACACCAAGGAAGATGTGATTACATTCACTGGGAGTGTACGTTTGGGAAGACTTAACAGAGGCAATGGGATTTGGAGACAAGTAGGGGGACAGGTATTCTGGGGGGAAAGGACAGCCAAGGGCTTAGTTCTGAGGTGTGTTGGGGGAGTTCGTCCTGCATATGGGTGGTGAGATTGCAGAGGACATGGGACAGGCATAGCTGGAGAGAGGAGCAGGAGTCAGATGAGGCCAGACCCAGTGCCCAGGAAAGGTGATTTGGACATTGGGGAGGGCAGTGGGAGCCACGGAGGGTTAAGGAGGGGAGGGCAGTGGTCAAGTTTGGATGCAGGCTATTTGTAGGTAGTGAGCAAGACTGGCCCCATCTGCTGGTGGAGCGCCCTGCTGATGCCCTGCTTGTCCCTGGCCCAGTTCTCACTCCTCTCGGAGGTGAGAGGCATCATTTCCCCTCAAGACCTGGACCGATTTGACCACCTGGTGCTGAGGCGGGAGATTGAGTCAATGAAGGCTCGGCAGGTCCCAGGGCCCGTGGCCGGTGACACCTACTCCATGGTCTCCTACAGTGACACGGCCTCGTCCACAGGCAGTCATGGCACTTCCACCACCGTCAGCTCGGCCAGGGTGAGTTGCCCTTGACTTTGTCCCTGCTCCGTGCTTGGCTTTGGAGTGAGACCGATCTGGGTTCAGACCCCAGCACCACCACTTACCAGGTGTGTGCCTTGCCTCACCGAGCCTCATTTTCTCTGTTTGTGTAAACCAAGTCATCATTGAGTGCCAACTGCGTGCCAGGCATGGACTCTAGGGGAAAATTGGTCAGCGAGATAGATGCAGCCCCTTCTTTCATGGGGCTCTCAGTCTGGGGCCGGGGAGAGAGGCAAAGACACAGGTAATTAGGCAAATAGGAAAAATAATTACAACCCGTGGGAGAAGCAAATGAGGAAAGTCAGTGATGCGTTTCACTCGTGCCTGGCCCCTGGTGAGCTCTCAGTGATGGGGCAGTGGTGTGTACGTTGTCTTTGTGATGTACCCCAAGAGACCCAACCCCCCTGTGGTCCATGAAGCCCCAGGCCCAGCCTGACTTTCTCCCAGGCTGCCAGCCCCCAGGTGCATCTCAGGGTGGGGTTCTGCTCCAGGGTGCTTGGAGGCAAATTAATTCCAGAAGACCTTTGCCAGGCAGAGGTGGGCAGGGAGCTCTCATTATCCATCATCAGGACAGCATCATTGGTGCCCAGCATGTGATAGATGGGAGGAGCCTGGGCTGGAGGTCAGGAGAGCCGGCTTCTGCCCCATACCTTTCTCTTGTACTCTAGTTTCATGTCCTTGGGTCACTCACCAGCAATCTTCTATGGAAAGGGAGGGAAGAAGGTAGCATTTCATAAGCACTTCTGCCTCTAGGGGCAGAGCTGGGAGGTCTTCCAGGTGGGATCTGGAGGCTACTTCAGGACAGATGCCCTGTTAGTCTTGTTTGTCAGTGATGTCCGGGGTTGCACACACAGGTGGTCAGGGATCAGAGATGAGCTCACAGACACTCGGCAACAGGCCTAGAGTGAGCATTCCTGTCCATCACAGACTCCACCTCCCAATGTGGCTGTTCTTAATTCTGGGCTCTGGGTTCCTGGGGGCTTGTACACCTCTCTGCCTCCTGCCCCACTATCTAGTGTCGCCTTCGCCCCCCAGAGTCCTCGCCTCCTTCCTGGGATGAACTCCTGTACATTCCTCTGGGTCTGGACCTGGCTGCACGTAGGCAGTGTCCTGCTTCCAGATGAGCTTCTGGGCAGGGAGCAGGCCACCACTGCCTTAGGCTCTGTGTTCGCCTCTGTGCATACCCTTGGATGCTGTGCTAGGTTGCAGGCTACAGTGCCCTGGCCCCAGAGGCTGTTTCTCACTGTGTCCAGCTCCACTGCTATTGGCCTTTATAATGTCCACATGGGGCTTTAGCAGCATGAGCCTCTGCTTTCAAACCTGGGGAGTTACAGGCTGCGGTTCCCTGAAGGTTCCTTTAGGATCGGGGATGAATGAGCCAGCCAGTGGGATGGGGTATGTTCTAGTGTTGGAGGCAAGAAATCTAGGTTTAATTCCTGGCCTCCAAGGGTCTCAGTTTCCCCATCTGTAAAAAGGCCCAGGCCCTTGCTGGCTCTGGCCAGCAGGTTAGTGTGGAGGACTAGGAGTTAGGGTAACTATTATGCTAGGAAAGGATTGTGGACAGGGGTCAGGAGCCCTCAGTCCCAGCCCCTGCTTAGTTGTAGCCCCGGGGTCTCTCCCCGACCTGGAAAGGGGTGGGCCAGGCCAGTGTGGACCCCAGCTCAGTGCCGACCCTGCCCATAAGAGGGCCCTTTGCTGCAGATGATGACATCCCGCGGAAGGCAGTCCTCCAAGAGGGCACGGGATTGTTTTGAGGAGGGAGTTTTTAGAGGCAGATGGAAGCGGTGGTCCTGGAGCCCCTCCCCAAGCTTCTGAGATGAGCGTGACTCCTAGGTAGCACATCGTGTCAGGATTAGGGCTACCCAAGGCCAGGCTAGGCTCCTGGAGGGGGATCCTAGGAGAAGGCATTGTGAATAAACAAGGTCACGTCATCTCTCTGTCCCTCCGTTACCTCACTTGCCTTGGGGCCATGATGCTGCTCCCCCGGCATGTTGGGGCCATTAAATGAAAGCATGCCTGTGGACCCAGGATGAGGAACTACTTAGTCCCAGCATCTCAGAAAGGCTGCCCCCACTCCAAGGGCAGGTGAAGGCCCTGTTCTTTTTGACCCAACTTGGAAAACTACCTGGAGATTTGCATCCAAGGCCTGTTGGCTCTTGGAGGCTTCTGGGAAACTTCTGACCAACCCTCCCCACCACCCCCAAAGGTGCTCTCTGCATAAACAACCACAGGAACCCTTTTCTCAGACTCTCGCCTTCTCTGCCCCTTCAGGGCTTGGGCCCCCTCGACATCAGGCCTTCTGGGCTGGAGGCTCCTCCTTTGGGCTCTTTTATTGGTGGGTGTGATCTTGGACAAGTCACTTTCCTTCTCTGAGCTCAACGGGTATCATGATCTCAGCCCTGCCTCCTGGGCAGGGTTGCCCAAGGTGAAAGACCAGGTCCTGCAGACCCTCCTGCAGGACAAATGTCATTTCTGTGGAGGAGTGGCACCCTCGAGGAGGCAGGCCGCAGGAGGGGTGTTGGTGGAGGCGGCAGGGTCTCTTCTTCCCTCTGTTCTTTATTCCTGCCACCATGCTCAAGGTGAGCAGACGGGCGTGAAGAGTCCTGTTCCTTGTGCCTGTGTGTGTATTTGGGGGACGGGGTTGTGGCTGTTCCCATCTCACCCCTCATACTTATTTTATGTACTCTTCTTTTTGCCTTTTGCCCACGCTTCCTCCCCAGGAGCGGCTGCTGTGGCTTATAGACCTGATGGAGGTACCGGCCTTCCTATCGGGCGGGGCTGTGGGAGTTTCTTAGCTAGGGGCAGAGGTAGGGGCCGTGGCCCTTCCTGCCACCTCCTCCTGTCTGCACCTTGCCCTGACGTGCTGTGGGTTCTTCTTAGCACTCACTATGTCTCCCAGGGCTGACTTGGCAGATTTTCTCAAGCTGCAGAGGGAGACTGCCCTTCACTCAAATGCCAACTCTGGTGCTTCCTAGCTGTGTGACCTTAGGCAAGTGATTTCCCCTCTCTGAGCTCAGTTTTACGATCTGTAAAATGAGGGTGATATTTTCTTTGCTGTGGAGATGTTTTGAGAGCTCCTGGCATTTGCGTATGCCGTGTGTTCTGTCTGGACTATTCTCCCACCCACTTCACATGGCCTGGTCATCTCCTGTGTTTTTGCTTCAGCCCTTAGCTCAGATGGCACCTTTTCCAGGATTTTCTTGATCCTCTCAAGGGGGACTTTTAGCCTCTGGCTCCTCCAGTGCCCCCTGGGCTTCCTTTCAGCATGGCACTTGTCTCATTATAGTCTAATAACCTGTAGAAGCCTGATTCCTTGAGGGCAGGACTGTGCCCCTACAGCCCAGCAGAGGGCCTGGCCCTTATTAATTGTCTTCTTAATAATGTCACTAGCCCACTTTGTTGAGGGCTCTCTGTGGCACTGTGATACTGCTTTACAATTGTATCTTCCTCCAAGGAGCCCTGATGGCACAATGGTTAAGTGCTCAACTGCTAAGCGAAAGGTCAGCGATTCAAACCCACCAGCTGCTCTGTGGGAGAGAAGACCTGGCCTCAGCTCCTGTAAAGATTACAGCCTAGGAAACCCTACGGGGCAGTTCTGCCCTGTCCTGCAGGGTCTCTGTGAGTCAGAATCGAATGGAAGGCACACAAGTAACGGGGAGGGAGTGCAAGTTCTGCTCTGACCCTGTTTTACAGAGAAGAAAGTGGGAGCTCAGAGAGGAGAGGGCCTTGTTCAAGGTCACACAGCCAGTAAGTCAGGATCCGAACCCACGTTTCCTTGCCTCTGAGCTGGTGCTGTTAACTCCTGAAATCCACTTGTAGGATCTCACCGCTGCTTTTTAAACATACTCTTAGTGTCCTAGGGCTGTCCTAACAAAATACCCCAAAATGGTGACATCAGAGAACAGAAGTTTGTTGTCTCACAGTTCTTGAGGCTAGAAGTCCAAATTCTGGGCCTCGCACGGCTGTGCCTGCCCCCTCTGGACTCGGGGAAAATCCTTCCTTGTCTCTTTTGCCTGTTGGTAATCCCAGGCGTTTCATGGCCTCCCTTGGTTTGTAGATGGATCCTCGTAGACTGTCTTCCTCTATGTGTGTGTTTCCATGTCTGTTCTCTTTCGTAAGATATTACTCAGAAGGGACTAGGGTTAGCCCCTTGCCTGCTCTAGTATTTATTAACTGATAACATCTGCAAAGAAAAACCCTCCTTCTGAGCCAGGCCACATTCACAGGTACAGGGGTTAGGACTGCAACGTATTGTCCTTGGGGACACAGTTCACATCCATCTCTCCATTCGTCCACCTCTCCATCATCTCTTTCTCTCTCTCCCTTCCTGTTCTCTTTTCTTTCCTTCTCTGAAGCAAATATTTATTGAGCATTTACTATGTGCCATAAGCAGTTCTAGCTGCTGGGCATACAATGGTGAACAATAAGGAAGCCTTTCCATTATGGAATTTCAAGTAGAGCAGGGATGACAGACAATAAAAAAGATGAGTCAATGAAGTGTGTGGTGATAAAGGCTAAGGAGAAAAATAAAGCCAGCAGGGGGTTATGGAATACCGAGGACAGCCATGGTGGGGAGATGAGTGTAGTGGGGAGAGGCTGGGACAGCCTGTTTCCATCTGAGTAAATACCTGAGAGAGGTGAGGGAGGAGCTGCAACTGGAGGAAGAGCGTTTCAAGCAGAGGAAACAGGAAGTGAAGACCCTGAGGTGGGAGCGTGGCTAGAATGTCTGGGGAAAGTCAGGGAAGCCAGTGACCGGATGGAGTGAGCACAGGGGGCAGTGGGGGCAGATCGTGTGTTCAAGACATAGACTGTGACTGTGTGTGAGGTCGGAACACTGACAAGGCCTGACTTGGTTTTAACAGGGGTCCCTCTGATCATTGAGAATTGACAAGGACAGGTTTGTCTGTTCTCAGATTTGTTCCCAGGAACCAGCCAGTCTTACAGGCTGGGGCTAAGGAGGACCTGGGAGTCCTTTCTCC